CCTGCATTGTGCAGAAGTGACAGTACATACCACTAATCAATACTTAGAGGATTGAGTGTGATTAAGATTCCTTCCTAAGCCAGGGACCAGTGGTTCACGTCTATAATCCTAGCTACTCAGGCAGCTGAGATCTGATAATCAAGGTTTAAAGCCAGCCTGGGCAGGAAAGTCTGTGAGGCCCTTATCTCCAATTAACCACCTTTTGAAAAGCCAGAAATGGAGGTGTCACTCAAGTGGTAGATCACTAGCCTTAAACAAAAGATCAAGGAGGGGGCCCAGACCTTGAGTTCAAGCCCCAGAATTGGCACACATGCACAATTTTTTCCTATGGTCTCTCTGTTCTCTTGGCCTCTGCATGCAGGCCATGAAGCATGGCTGGTGTAGATTCAGAACCACTGCTGCCTTGGTGGGTGCCAATGATGCCCATTGAGCAACGCCCTCTGACCCTTTTACCATTTCCATGGCTCTGCTCCTCAGCACTCAACACCTGTGGCTTTTTTAGAGGAGAAAGCAAAATAGAGGGATGACCAAATGGATTAGGGCAGCAGGAGGAGATTGTTCACTGCAACCCCCAAGGCTCTCCAAGTTCAGGTTTGCACAGAACCCCATATCACCCCGTTATCCTTTTCTTCTGCTGCTGATCCCCTGGAACATCATACACCTTACATATAATCATTTCATGGACTCCCTGGAAACCTTGAGGAAGCATCACTCCTTCATTGCTGTCTATTCTTCTTCTCTGTCCACATACTGACTTCACTGAGTATCCCTCTTCCCCAGCATTCCTTCAGTATCCATGGAAGTGCATTGAAGGGACATAGGCATGTAAATGAGAGTCACTGTCTGACAGATCTATTGTGTGTGTGTGTGTGTGTGTGTGTGTGTGTGTGATTCCTAGGGTTTGAACTCAAATCTGGGTGATGCCCCTGAGCTTTTTGGCTCAAAACTCGTGCTCTGCCGGGTGCTGGTGGCTCACGCCTGTAATCCTAGCTACTCAGGAGGCTGAGATCTGAGGATCACTGTTCAAAGCCAGCCCGGGCAGGAAAGATTGTGAGACTCCTATCTCCAATAAACCACCAGAAAACCGGAAATGGCACTGTAGCTCAAGTGGTAGAGTGCTCGCCTTGAACTGACGAGCTGAAGGACAGCGCCCAGGCCCAGAGTTCAAGCCCCAGGACCGACAACAAAACAAAACAAAACAAAAAAACTCATGCTCTACCACTTGAGCCACAGCTCCATATCCAGGTTTTTGGTAGTCGATTGTAGAAAAGATTCCACTTGCTTTCCTTCCCAGGCTGTCTTTGAACCATGATCCTTAGATCTCAGCCTCCTGATTCAGCTAGGTTTACATGCATGAGCCACCAGTGCCTGTCCTTAAGCCTTTTTAATTTACCTTCAAGGTCACTGAAAGCCCAAGAGTTCTTCAGACAATCTGACAACTCTCCAGGAATCATAACTGTCCTTGATTCTCTGCCCTCATGAGGGCACTCTGAATATTTGGATACAAGGAAATGTGCCATTTGACAATCATCATTGAAACAGTGTAACACAAAAAATATGTGTTGTATACATTTTCCCTGTATAAATTTAGGTGAAAAATACTGAGTTACAATGTTTGTGTTCTCCATGGTGTTTAAATATGTAAATGAATGTTAGAATACAAATGCTCAATGGAGTCCTAGGATATCTTTGCATTAGTAGAATAATAGATCATACATCTCTAAGTGTATTTGAGTAATAGCTAGTTTTAGTGAAGATGTGACTTTTTGATTATTCAATTATTTTTGTAGGAACATCAGTTTTTATGAATTCTGTTTGTACATTAACAGAGAAATGAATTGCTTTTGTACTATCTGTTAGGGTATATTAGACTTTGCCAGAGAACCATGCAAACATCCAGGTACAAAGAACAAAGAAAGTTTTATTGACAGCAGTGGAACTGGCAAGACCCCTTCTCACAAGTGAAGAGTGAGAAGTGCCGGCTATTGTTTGCGGTGACCTATATAACTAGGGGCTAGGAGGAGGTGGAGACCCCAGTGTGGACATGTGGACCAAGGGATCCATCATGGTGGACTAGGATTTATGGCTGCTGCCCAAATAGTAGATAAGGGGCTCTGCAGCTGCCCAGACCTTAAGGTCACTCTAGGGAGTTCTTGCTGCCCTATATCGTAGTAGCTACCCCAGAAGAGTGCCATCTCAAGATAAAGGGAGCTTGGAGGGAGGCTGATTATTAACTGCCTAGTGTTGACCAGGAAGGGAGCATGCCAAGCTGTGGGAAAGGGAAGGAGCATGCTTAGCTATGGGAAAGAAGCTTATTGGGCTAACAGTATCTAGCAACTAAGGACTGTGGATTTGTCTTTAGTGGAGAGTTTGATGCTTTACTTGAGACATAAAAGATTATTCTCCCATAAGAAGGCCTTTCCTCCCACGTATAATGTTTCGAGCAGGAAAATTTCAGTAAAATTACACAGTTTCTTTCCTGACTACCTCATTTCCCTTCTCTCCCAGCCATACTTCCTGAATCTTCTGTTCATTGTCAACAGCAAGAAAGAATGAAAGACTCTCTGGTGAGTTGCATTTTATTTCTCATTTTGTATTACATTCCAGCTTATGAACTTAAAGGTGTCCAAGATTTAAAAACAGAAAAACAGATCCAGCTTCAGGAACATGTTCATAAATCACATAAAGATGGCTATTAGGTTTAGCATATTATAAAATCTGACATTCTATGTTAAGTGCAGATTTGCTTCAGCTTGTTTCTAGTTTTTCTTATGTGAGAAAAAGTATTCACACTGTTATGTGATTCAATAACCTAGAGGAGGTGACATCTCATCCTCATGAGTAACATTGAACTATCTTAATGAAGTCTTTGGTCACACACACCTTTGAATGTTTTAGAGGACTGAGTAAGCAATATGTACTTAAATTATGTTTCATACCTTATTGGACTGTGTCATGGTCATTTTCTTACTTGAAACTTAGACTATAGATGATGATATGGTCTATGATTGTTCTAGAAATCCCTCTATTTTTTCTAAGGTGTCCTCACAAGATTCCCCCCTCCCCCTACTATTTTCTGTTTCAATCTTTGTTTTCTGCTCTCTAGCTTTGCTTATTTGTATCTTTCTTTATGTATCTATTTTTCTTTCTGAATTTTTTTTCTCCCAGCCTGTCTTCCCTCCATCTGTCTCTCACTTTTTACTTTTCTTAGAATGCTCTGTCTGGGAACTAGTTTTTCTTACAAATTTTCTTTTGCTGCAGTGGCTCTTAGAATTGACATTTTTCTTATGGTTTGATTTTTCCGTATTCCCTTTGAAGACAGGTCTTGCTATGTAGTCCAGCTTGCTGTTGAAATTTTATGTAGCCTAGGCTGGCTGGTAATCCCAAATTCAGGGAGTATAGGTATATTCCATCCTTTTTGGCTACATTAACCATTACATATGGCCACATTGTTTTATGGTCATGCCTTCCATCCATCTACAGCATTTTTTGCCTTTCATAAATGAAGCTGTAAAAATCATTAAATACACAGCTCCTACCAGTCTTTGGAACCATTATAGTTACTGGGTCTATGAGTTTGTTGATCCATGGAAGAGCAGTAAGGGAAATCATACCATGGCTGATACTTGATGCCTGGTGTATTTTATTTAGCTTATTGTATTCAAGATTTATCCCTGCTGTAAAATGTATTAAAGTTTTCTTCCTGTTAAACACACTTATCTATTCTTTCCAGGCTTCTGTCTTTTGGTTATTGTGAGTAGTTGTTGTGTAGTGATTCTCCAAATAATTGTTCTAGTCCCTGCTTTCACTTCCATTGGTATAAATCTAGAAATAGAAGTGCTAGACCATATTCCTATGTAATTCTATATTTAGTTCTTTTAGAAGTCTCCATACCATCGTTGATTTTTTTACATTCCTGCCAGAAATGCATCAAAATTCACTTTGTTTTCACATCTTTCTCAACAGTTGTTAGACTTTGGAAACTTTTTTGTTTTTGTTTAATAAAAGTGTGTATGAAGAAGTAGATATTTCATTTTGATTTGAATTTTTCTAATAACTAGTGACATTGAACTTTTTTATATTTAATGAGCTACCTGTATACTTTTTAGAAAAGTCTCTTCAGTTTTTTCCATTTTTAAATTAGATTTTGTGTCATGGGAGGATGGTTAATTATAGGATTTTGTTTTATGTGAACTCTGGGCCTGGGTGCTGCCCCTCAGCTCTTCAGCTCAAGGCTAGCACTCTACCACTTGAGCCACAGCACCACCTCCGGCTTTTTCTGCTTATATGGTGCTCAGGAATCAAACCCAGGGCCTCAGGCATGCAAGGCAAGCACTCTACCACTGAGCCACCTTCCCAGCCCCGTTGTTTTATGTTTTTAATTCACTTTGGTTAGTAATCTATTTAGAGAAAAACTAATACCATGCTTTCTCTTCCTTGTTGATCACACCTTCTTATATACAATGTTTTAATTATATGCACTAAATTTGATTTTGTTTAGTATCAAACACTTTTGGTGTCCTATCAAAGGAGTCACTTATCAAACACTTTTGGTGTCCTATCAAAGGAGTCACTGTCAAGTCTAATGTCATGAAACTTTCCTCCCTTCCTCTCTTCTTTTCCTTTCCCTTCCCTTCTTTTTCCCTTTTTTTTCCACTACTGTCTTGTCAGCTCTTCTTTTCTCTGCCCCTTTTCTAGCCTCTCCCCACTCCACTCATTTTCATTTCTCTTTATGTCTGAGGACTTACTGTGTTGCCACAATTAGTGTCAAAGCCCCGACGATGCTTTCTTGTGCTAGTACTAGATCTTGAACTCAGTCAGTCAGCTTCCTCAATCACTGTTGACACGCTCATTTAAGCCATGCCTCCAACCTGTTATTAGCTACTTAATTTGAGTTGTCCACCAAGGCTGCTTCCAGACCTCAGCCTCCTTAGTAACTAGGATACATTCTCGTTCCTGAAGCACTTGTTTTTGTTTTTCTTACCAGCACATACTGTTACTGGCTTATCTGGAATTAATATTCAACCTCAACTCCAAAATTTCAAATGTATTTGAGTTGTCTACCATGCTGGCTTCCAGATCTCAGCCTCCTTGAGTAGGTAGGGTCTGATAACAGTCTTGAGCTAGAGCACTTGTTTTGATTTGCTTTTCTTACCTGAACATTTAATACTGACAGTTAATTTGATACTAAAACAAGGTTATTGTTAACTGATTTATATAGAATTAATATTCAACCTCAATTCCAATATTTCACGTTTCAAATTAAGTCTTGTATTTTATTTCTAATAGTTGTAACTATTCTAACTGGTATATTTTCTTCACTAAGCAAACAGTTTAGGCTAGCACAACTACATGGAAGGATTGTTTTATAATTAATTTAATTTATTGTTATAGAGATACAGAGAGATTACAATTACATGAGTCAGGTAATGAGTATATTCCCTTTCACAGAGGGTCTTCCTTTC